GATTTTCAGTATCTAGTATATGGAAATATTTACGAATTTATTATACTGTTTTTCTACGTTTATTATACGTTTTTTAAACGTATTATTTCCGTATATTTTCCTTATACATATTATTTATAGGGGCTGAGATATGTTAAATTCTTCTATTAAATTATTCTAAAGAACTATCATATCCAATTCTTTTAATATTTTCAAAATTTTACTTTTTATTTTATATAGACCATTGTAAAATCATATTTTCTTTATTCAATAATCAAAGTATAAAGTTTTTTTTAACCTTTAGATTAATCACTATTTGCCTTAAAGCTAACTTGCTTACTTTTCTCATTTGTTTTAGTTATCCAACTCATACTTGCATTTATTTAGTAATTTACCATACTATGATTGAGATTAAAATGCTTTGCTACTTTATTTTATCTGTGTTTTTAATTACCTGCTTTTTCTGTTACATAGAATATAAGTTTTATTTACATTTAATAATTTGTGACTTATATTTAACAATTTTCTTTCTTTTAGAAATTTGTGCCTTTATTTTATGAATCGGAATACTTATTGTAGTTTTTAAAAACCCATTTTTTAAAACATGTTTACATATTTTCATGCAATTAATGATCAATATAAAGTGATTTATACATATTGTATATACAGTATATATACAGTGGTATGCAAAAAAAATGGCAATTTTTAAAATTATGATAGTTATATAAATATTACACTAATTAAAACATACAATATATTATTTTAAAGCTAATAAGTGATAAATTGTATTTAAAAAAAATTATGATATTTATTTACTATTTTTTTTCCAATAATCCTATTATAATATCATAAATTAAATTTATAAAATCAATTAGAAGGCTTTTTTGTATTTATTATTTTTTACTTTTATTCAAAAAACTTTTAATTTACTAAATTTTTTTAGCTCATATAACTTTACATTCCTTTTAATAATTAAGTTAATAGTTTTTAATAAGTTTTAGATCTAGATTATTAAAAAAATAATCCATAACTTTTAAAATACTATTTTCAAAAAAAAATTAGTAAAATATCAAATTACTTAATAAAATGATTGAAATGCTATCTTGATAAAGAATTTTTTACATTTAATCTCTAATTTATTTCAATTTTTTTAAGTTTTTAGTAATAGTTTTGTTAATCTTTATGAATGAGTATATATTTAGTAGCATTGTATACTTCTTGCCTTCAGAAATGTAATCTCATTTAATGTTAAATTTTTTGTCTAGATAAAATCACTTTAAAGTTTAATAAACTAAAATTTTTATTAAGGTATAGGAAAAATTTTACTTGAAAGTTATATCTGATTAAAATTGAAGTTACAAAACGACGTAGTAAAATTGCCATTTTTTTTGCACACCACTGTATATATACAGTATATTTATATAAAATTATTTGTCAAATACATTTGTTAAATTTGTTAAGATTTTAAAAATTTTATTTTTGATAATATTTTTAAACATTTTATTAAATTTGACAGACTTTATAACCTAAAAAAATGTTAATTACTATATTTTACTTTGTTTTTTTTTTATAAAACCTGGTAATTTATAATATATAAATATATTTATTGATTTAATTGTATTCAGAAAAAAAAAAAAATTAAAATCAATGTAATTTATTTATTATCATTTATTTATCAACTTGATTATATTAGATAAGTAATTAATGAACTTCTTTACTGCATTCTCTTTCTATCAAATTTTCTTTTCAAAACGAATTCTAGAAAAAGACTTTTTTTTTTTACTCGGATTTATTATAATTTTTTTTTTTTAAAAAAAAAAATAAATTATTATATTCGTTATTTAAGAACAAAAAGGTATGATAGTATAATATATGGAATTCTATCATTGAAATACAATTGTGCTTAAGAAAATAATATCTAAAGAAATATATATATTTTTTGGTTGGTTTCATTCACAAAATTGCTAAAATATAAAATCCAAAATAGTCGAATTTAATAGTAACAAATATTTATATAAAAGTATTAAAACGCTGTCATAACTCTCATATCTTCAATTTTCTTTTGAATTTCTGCAGGAGTTCTATCTAATTCGTCAGCGATCATTTTTTTCTTCTCCATAGGTAATAAATTATATTGTTCACATAAATCTCCATCCACTACACTTTTAACGGGTGCATAAAAGCTACGATATTGTAAATGATCACGCCCTGCTAATGGTGGTGCTTCGTTTCTCATATGCATTTCAAGTGTTTGAAAAAAGTCAATATCTTCTCTAGTTAAAAATGGAACAAATACTCCAATATTACCCATAATACCAGTATATACAAGAATTTCACGCCCTCCTGCAACAAGAGTTGTTCGATGAAGAGATGTAAGAATGTCTCCAACATGATAATGTAATATCATTGATACCTGTTTATCAATTGATTAAGGATAAAATTAATAAAGAGCGTGGGTGCACATTTGAACGGATGTTTCGTTGATAAAGTATGAATTACCTTGTGAGGGGCACCCATTAAATATCCTTTTTCATACATTATTTTATTACCGGTAGGATCCTCATCAACTTCTTCACTAGTCTCAGCTGGTAATCGATCAATAAAGAAATTTCCAAACTTATCAGCACCAGCTATTGTATCGTAATCTATCATTACAGTGGATGTAATCCATCGTGGAGTAGTGTCATCGGCAAAAATAATAATTCTATTATCGTGTTGCCTATATGATGCGTAATGAATCGATTCTTGCATATCACAAATAATTATGCGATTGCCTTGTGTATGTAAATTCACTATACAATTTGGAATCGCCTATCGATAAAAGAAAGTTAATTGACCGATTCAAATATATAAGGTACAAATTTAATATAAGTAATTGTTTTCTTTTTTTTAAAAGATAAAATTCAAACCTTTGTCTCACATTTTCGTAATAATTTTCTTTTTCCTAAATCATATATCCTTAAAGCTTTACCAACGCCAGCCAAAAGCCTTCCTTGGAAGGGCAATAACGCCAATGGTATATCATCGCATTGGGTCTATGTAAAATAAATAAAGTTAGGACATTTCATAATTAAGTATAGTGCCATTAAAGCTTTTACCTTATGAAGAAGATTTAAATCGCTTCCATCAGCATTAAATTGATACACGTATAAATATCCCAATGAACATGTGCGAGGTGCCAAATTTGCGTCTTTGGCGGTTCCTACAACAAGAAATAATTCATTATTATGACCATGGAAATTAACTGTTGTAATACTGAAGTGAATTCAAGAACATTAGTAAAGATAAATTTGGTTCTCAAAATCTATATAAACAATGGAGTAATAATTTTACCTAAATGCAGCTTCGTTTTCTTCAAATTCAAATTTTGATGTTGTTTCACCTAGAAATGGGTTGATGATGCGGATACATGATGCCCATTTTCCAGGTTCAGCTTTAGGTAATCCAAATATCTCTGGTGATAACTCCAATAAATTCGGATCAAAACGTTTCCCTTCATTAATTTTTTCTTCCAGGGTTCTTTGTTTCTCCATCGGAGAATAGGTATTATGTTCACTTTCAATCACAACAAAATTTCTTGAAGGAGAATGAAGAATAAAATGACGTGGGGTGTAATTAAGTTGTATTATAGCCTGATTAAAAACCGTTCCCAATTTTTCCACGGCAAAAATTCTCAACGTATTAGCTGAAATAGCCACGATCCCTTCAGGTACTTGAGGCGAAGTAAAGTTAGAACCGTATTCAAGCATATCATACGAAAGAGGCGTTAAATGTAACCGAGATTGGAAGGTATAACTCAACCAAGGTCGACTTGATAAAGCTAGAACTGCTGGAGCTCCTTGAATTGTAACTTGAAAAAGCTTCACGGGTCGAGCACCGAGAAATCTAAGAGAATAATGTAAAGTGAAAAACATCTCAGGTGCTGCATTTTTTTCTTAAAAAAAAGGGAATATTTTAATAATAATAATAAAAAAAATAATTAAATGATAATTCACCTTTGCCGCGTATCTGTCAGTGAACCTGTTATAGTATCCAACACCGTCCTCAATAAAACTCCATTCTGTAACCCTATGTTAAGATAAAGGGTTCCATGAGACGCATCAGTACCAATATCCATCATTTCAATGATAGATAAAGATTGCGGAGGCGCATTAAGACCCTATAAAAGAATTACATTGGAAGATATATAATCATGTTAGACTAGACATTGTAAGAACTAAAGTAAAAGAACTCGGGAGACATACCTGAGTACTAAGTACTTCTAACGTATTATCAGGGTCGAGAGAAAGAATTCGCACGGCATTATCATCGCAGCCTACGGCCTAATTTCCAAGAAAAATGTTGATCAATCAATGCGAAACAGAAAGAGATGAAGGAAAATGTGGTCTTACCAGAAATCTTGATCTCTGTCTTCCCTCAGGCACTTCGCCGACACTTAAGCATGTTACATTAGACGAGATTTCTTTGCGTTCTTGATATTCATTTAATTGGCCTCGATTGTCTAATTCAAAATACACAAGCTCTCCTCCAGTTAGTGCTATCACAACTTGGCGTTTATTCGTTGCCGCTTTTACAATCGCTCTGTTTCCTGGCGTTTTCCATTCATTAACACGTCGATCAGCACGAATATGTCGTATGCCTTGTGGATATATCTTTAAATTTGTGGCACGCATGTTAATGATAATTTTAAATAATTCTAATGTTTATTTAACAAATTAAAACATGAATACAAACTTGAAGTAACGCGTCGTCACCAAGTTGGTGTACGTCTAATGTGGGCGTTGTGGCAAGAAAACCAGTATCAGTCACTTCCTCCACCGTCTCACCAATAGATAACACCAGTGTAGCATTTACGAACGATACTATGATATAAGCATCAAACTCGTCTAAATTTGTAAAGTTGAAAGAAAATGTTTAATTTAGTTGGTCTAATTAATATATATGAAAGAATAGATTCATAAATGTTTAACAGCACCGTCAGACTTTAATTTCGTAGTCCAAACAGCATTAGGATTTCCTGGTAGTTCTGAAACAGCCATTTCAGAAATTTCTAGACCATGTCTTAATATACGGAATGTTGATCCTGCACCTCTCCCACATAGAGCGTATAATTGAGGCGTATCATCATCTGTAAGATTCAAAACCTAGGATTGATTAAAAAAAACAAAACATTAGTAAAAATATATTATAAACTTAAGGAATTAAAAAGATCAATACTTTAGCATCAATTAATGGATTTAAACTCTCCAATTCATCTGCACGTTCTAAATTTTGAAGGTCTCGCGGCGTAAAATATGCCACTGCTGCTGGTATATCCTTGTCATCGTCCATAAACTCTTCACTTGACCATTCAGGCTCATCGTTATCATCGCCGAGACTTGTAAAAGAATAGAGTCGACTATAGTACACATATCAATTAAGTTTGATGATCAAAAAAACGGAGCACAAAATAAAGGACGACCATAAAGCATTCCAACGTACTGATTTCCAAATTCCGCAGCCACAAACAAGAAACCAGCCCTAAGTATACATAATGACGCCGCGACAGGCACGGTATCAAAATATTTAATTTTAATTGCGTTCACCCTATCATCCTCATAATCAAGTGTAACTTTATATATATCACCTTCTTCACTTTGTAGTAAAAAGAAGAAGACACCTTTCATTTTGTGCATGACACCTGCTACAATGATTAGTCCACGTGAAGGATCCTCTAGAGGATTTCTGCGACGTGGTATAGGTATTCGAAGTTCAGGCACCCTTTGATGTTTGTACGTTATGAAATTTTCCGAACAAACTAATACCCCTGATGGACCATCGTTTCCGCCAGGAACTAAGTAACAATTTTTTTTTACAATTATTAGGAGCTCAACTTTCTAAAATCACAAGAATATAATAATTAATAGTTGCCTGGAAAAAGTAGATTTGCTCGAGCATCGACTGGATCACTCCATTTTCTCACTACATGATTTAGGCCAAGGTCCAATTCATAGTAAGTTAACATCTAAAAAAATTCAAGATTCAACAGAAATATCATTGATCAACGAATTGTGCGATATAGTGCGATATGTATGTCTTACAACAGCTAGAGATCATATGATATTTTACCTTTTCAGTACTATTAAATGCATCACCAGTTGGATCCATATCTGCATCAGAATAATCTACTTCTAAACAAGCGAATACTGGATTTTCATATCCAACATCTAAACCTATACAATGGTGAACTAAGGTATGTGACTTGTGTGCCTCCAGCGGCGAAGATATAGTCAGGTTAGCCGCCGAGTCACGATTAAGAATATAAACCAATTTTTGTTTCTCGATTGCACCTTGTATGATAAATATAACATAGTAACTTAGCTTGAAATAATAAATTTCATTAAAAATTCCTCAAGGTAAATCTATTGACTCACCTATCATAACAGATCTGCCTTTTGGATCTACAGCTAAATACTGACCGGGAACGATTCTTCTACATCCTGATTTACCAAAAGTTTCTTGATGAACTTTGTCAAATTTATTCTTGATTGGATTGTATTCTAAAATGACTATACGCCCTGAATCAGATCCGACTATAATATAGTCTGTTGTGACATGAAAGTTTGTGACCGTTCGAGAAAATGAACGCACTCAAATAATTAATATCAACGCAGCAGAGATATTTTTTTTGTAAATCAAATTTCCATTTCCCGGAACTAGCTTCGCACCTTTTGAACTTCCGGTTAACCTAAAAGGAGTCAACGATCTTATTATTCCGAAAGCATCGTGAGTCAAAAGCGTTTGTAATTTACCCGAATTTGGATCAGCTTTTAAAAGCTCCAGCCGAGTTACCCTGGAAACGACAATTTCTTGTTGTTTTGTACCAGAAAAGTGGCCAACTACGGCGACGTTTATTGTAGTTGGAGGCTGTAAAGTTAAATTGTAAAGGAACATTTTTTTTTGACTTCTGGAAATAATAATGTAAGGATCGAAATTTCAGCAAAGTTAACAGAGAAAAAGTTTGTTGCACAGATCTAGATGGATGCCGATCTATCGTTGATCATTTGAACGGGTAAAGTATAATTAATTATAAACCAGAAATTATAAACCAGAAAGGATATAATTTAACGAAATGGACGTACGATCTACACCAAGATCAAAGATTTCACTTAAAAATATTTCCCAAGATAAAGATAATATAAAACAACCACCGGTAAACAACAAAGCAGAAAAATGGAACCGCTTTCAAGAGTTAAAAAGACGACGGGAGGAAATGGAAACTAAATCCAATAAAAAGGCGCAAAAACCGAACAATTCCATTATAATACATGGTAAGTTTTTTTTATTATTATTAATTTTATCCTTTTATCAAATTTTATAGAAGTTAAACCAAAGCTTAGTACACCTTTTCTAATAAAAACGGATAAAGCATCTGAACCTTCGGCTCAAGATAATCCTAAACCAAAGAAGCAAAGAACAAAATCGACGTTCGATATAACCGACCCTTCAACACTTCCCAAAAGTATAGCTAAATATATGCATATGAATGAACATTTGAAGGGAATTGATCATGGTCGTTTGTCAGCAAAGGATGAATTAGAAAATGAACTTGATAAGGCTGTTGACAACGGCGATTTAGAATTAGCGTCAAGATTGAATGATCAGCTCGCGCAAAATAAATATGAAACAGCGGTTATCAAGGCGATAGAACGAAAAGAATTTGATGAAACGAAAAAGGTAAATACCAATTACTTTTGATAAAATGATTGTAGTTTGCTTTTCTCACATTTCAATTTTTTTAGAGGGAAGAAGAAAAAAAAGCTAATAAGAAAAAGCCAAAGTTAATTTGGGGGTATGTATTTGTTATGTAGATGATGGTTCTTATTATTTACAATTATTAAATTCAATCATTTTCTTTTTATTATAGATTTGAAACAAAACGTAGATGGGAGACAAAAAGTAATATGTAAACTTACTCAAAGCTTATAGTTTTTCACAAATATTATCGATAACAAAATACCAGCGCTTGGAAATGCATAATAAAATTTTTTAAATATCTTTAATCTATAAATTTTCGGATTGTCAATTTTTATGTGTTGTCTGATTCATAAATATGCCATGTGTCAAACTCTCATTGAACAAAAAAAATGATAGCATGGCCAATTAGAATCCACGTTACACAGATAATTGACACTAATAAAAATAAAAAAAATTAAATCAACCTTCCCAACTTAAAAAAAAAGAGAATTTGAAAAAATGAGGAAGTCAACATCGTCTCTACTTTTGTTCACATTACTTGTATTATGTCTTCTCATATTCCCCAGAACTTCTGAAGGAACGTCTTTAACGTATAACGTTGCTGCTCATGAGAGAGCTTGCTTTTATGTATGGGCCGATAAACCCGGCGAAAAGGTCTCTTTTTATTTCGCGGTAAGGTTACAGATGTTAGATATAAGGTGCATTGATTTTTTTAAAAAAATTATACTAATTAATTGATTTTAGGTCCAAAGTGGTGGATCTTTTGACATTGATTATTTGGTAACAGACCCACGTAATAAAATAGTATTAAATGGAGAACGAGAAAGACAAGGAGATTTTGTCTTTACGGCAAATTTTGTTGGAGAATATTCATTTTGTTTTGCCAATGATATGTCAACATTTGCAGAAAAACTTGTTGACTTTGAAATTTCCATTGAAAATGAACCGAGAGCAGAATTACCACCTCCTAAAGGAATTCAACCTGAACACACAAGTAGTATGGAAGAAAGTTGTTTAAGGCTTAGTAGTAGGTTAAGTGCTATTTCTAGGTCTCAAAAATATTTTAGAACAAGAGAAAATAGAAATTTTTCGACGGTTAAAAGTACCGAAAATAGAATTTTCTGGTTCGCTTTATTGGAAAGTATGTTAATCGTTGGAATGGCTGCTGTTCAAGTTTTCGTGGTAAAAACCTTCTTCAATACTACCAAGAGAGGTCATGTTTGATTATGAACCAATCGCTTTAATCTCGGTATAATTGGAGTTTCCAAAAAAAAAAAAAGGGAAAAGAAAAAAAGAAAACAAAAAGAAAAAGAAAAAAAAAATTTCCTTGGAGGATCGCTTTAGTGACCAGAAATTAATTTGATATGTCACATTTCTTCTTAAATAATGTAAAATCATAATAATATATAGAATAATCCAAAAAAGTAATTTTGTAAATCGGAGTAAATTTCTAATTTCCTTCGATTTCAAATCTTCACTTCTAATTAAATAGCCTTTGGTTAAATAATTTAAATTCCGCATTCCTTAAAGAAAAAGGCATGTCTCTAAAATTTCATTTGATAAAAGAATGTTCAATTTAATAAACCACTATCAGCAATTTCCTTCCAACCTTGTACTCTATATAGCTTTCCGTTCTTTTGTCCTGTTCCGTCATATATTTCAACACGATCCTTTAATCCCTCCACAATTTCAATCTCGTATTTGTTACAATATTTGGTTAGAGATTTATTATTTCCCATTATGATTCCAATATTAGCTTGTACTATATAAAGGAGAAAGTTCGCGCAATTAACGTCTTTGATTTAAATCCATGGTTTTTAAAGAAATCTTGATACTTACATAGACAAGGTAAATCGGTATCCGAATCACCAATATAAACCGACAAGGTATTTTTTGGCGTGTGGAATTGTTTAAATATTTCAAGTTTATCAGTAGCACATAAAACATTACGGTTTAATTTCCCAGTAGAACAATTATTATTAAATATTAAATCGTTTGAGAAGATAAATCTTTTATCGAATTTATATTCTAATACTAAGTCGAATAAACTTCCTAATATTATATCTTTAGACCAATTCGTTGAAATTATATATAAATTCCTATCCATGTGAAGTTTCATTCCATTTATTCCATGTTTAGAAATAAATTTTTTTAACGTATTTAATACTTCCTCTCTCTTCTTTATCGATTTTCCTTTTTCAATTAATTCGTTATCACAAACACCTTTCATACAATCGTATTTTTCAATTCTGTCAATTGAAATGTTCTCAACTTTTTTTAGTGATTCTAACATTTTAAAATGATCCAGAATTGTATCATCGGGATTTAATTCACGCCAATGGTTAATATGTTCTTTATATTCTTTAAAATATAACTCAACGAAATATGACCATGGTGGTGGACATCCTTCGTCTTTATCGTTCAGAGGTGGACAGTTTGGTGGTGATGATGGGCATTTCCCTTGTTTTGCTCTTTTTTCGTAAGCTAAATTAGCCAATTCACAAATTGAATCATTTTGTGTTATGGTTTCATCAAAGTCACATACTAATAATCCAACCGGAAATGAATGCATCTTTTTTAATTGAAAGAGGGGAAGAAATTGATTTTCTGGTTATGATACAAAAGTCGTACGAAATTCCCGATCGGGAATTATATTATCGTTGCAGTTGTAGATCATGAAATCAAAATATCTATTCTTTCTCTCTAGGAAATATCAAAAAAAAAAAAAAAAAATTAAATCAAAAAATGTCGTTGAGGATGCAAAAAGGTCCGGTTCATATGTTAAGACAACATTGGTCGAAATTTAAAGATGGTAATACAAAAACAAAAAGATTCAATAGACCACAAAAATGGGTTCACCCAAAGAATCGTATTGAGAGATGGAAAATTTTTGAAGGTGATATAGTTAAAGTAATGGTTGGAAGAGCAAAAAATGAAGTTGGAAAAATTAAAAGTGTTGATAAATTAAGCAATAGGATATGGATTGAAAATGTTAATATGGGTAGAATGACTAAGCCTAAAATAAATCTCGATAGAATTAACCCTGAAAATAAAGATAAAACTGGTGGTTGGTGGTTGGCTCCCGTTCTTAAACCAATACATGTTTCAAATGTTATGCATATACATCCTGATGATATTAATGAGTGAGTACTTTTGTGAGTTTTATTCGAGAATTTTTCTTTATTAAATTTCAAACACTTGTTACTTTTCTAGTGAAAATAAACAAAATAGCGAAAAGAGAGCTGTTCGATCTGAATGGAAAAAAGTTGAAATTGATGAAAATGAAACACGATGGAGACGTGTGATTGCTGGAACTAAGACAGTCATTCCTTTCCCTAAGAAACCAAAAGAACCAGAACGAGAAAGTAAGTTAGATAATGATAATTACGCAAAGTTCGTTTAGAGTAAAAAAAAAAAATTTTTTTAATTTGAATCGTTGGATTTGGATATTTCCTAGAGTCACCTTTCGACACGTCATCAGAAATTGCGAGGCAATTGACTTGGAATGTATCTTTGGATCCTCCACTCCCACCTGGCGTAATAGATGAATTACGTACTCCTTATAAAGGCTGGAGATACAATGCACAAAATAAGAATAGACCTTTTATTTAATTTATTGCTTTTATCAAAAAGAACTTGTTCAACACGTGATGTTAACGCGTCTTTTTTATTATTAAGTGTAAAAAGTATATGTAAAAAAATTTATTCATCTTTATAAGCAATTTCAAAATTAAAACATTAGTAAAATTCCTCCTTTTAACCAATTACATATAATAAATTCACTTCCAACTTTCATTGCGCCTTTGGATTCTAAATCTTCTCTTCACTCTTCAATTAATGTTTTTTTTAATTTCTTCTAAACGCTTAACAATGAATCAACTAGTATCAACATAATTAGCTAAGCATGTTCTCCACTACATTTATCCCAACATACTTTCTGATTGTTGTAATCTTAGACGTGTATTTTCACCTTCCAAAACCAAATTCTAAATTTATTCTGAAGAAAAATTAAATACTTAATATTTGTTCCAGTATTTTCACAAAAAAATTCTATCTACGTGATTAAATTTGGCCGGCATTATGGAACTTAGCCGGAATTAAGATAGGATTTTTTTTCTGTATCATTATCTCACATGATCTTTATAATTTGTCATACTAATGTCACTTTTTTAGTTTTCATTTTATTAAATATTTGGATTATGTATTAAATAACAATTAATATATAATTTCAGGTTTAATTTTTTTAAAGAAATTAATATAGTATTTAAATTGTTTGTATTACTATTTATAATTGTATTAATTTTTATTTTTATATGCTAATAAAAAAATCATAATAGAGTTTTAGATAATAGGTTATTTTATTCATAATATTAGTTTGATTAAATTATTTTTTTTATTTTTTTATATAAGTAAGGGTTATTTCTATTATTTAAAATATTTGTATTTTTAATTATATTTGAATCAACTATAAAAATAGTTTTTTTATAAATAATAATTTAAATATTTTTATTTGAATCATCTATTAAGAGCTTATATAGTAGTGATGCAGACTTTTACTTTATTATATATAGAGTTTTGAATGAGTTGAGCTAACTTTTGAGTCAAATAAGTTAAGTCAAGTTAAATCAAAAAAAAAATTGACTTATTTAACTTGAGTTGAGTTTTAAATTAAGTTTGACTTGACTCGAGTTAACTTGAGTTAAACTTAAACCAAAAATTAAGTTTATAATCAAGTAAAGCTCAAATAAAAATTTAACAAATTTTTTTTAAAGAAAATATTAAAAAATTATTTTAAAGAAACAATAGAAATTTCATTCTGATAGTATGATAAATTATTATTCTAAAGAAACATTCATTTCAATAAAATTATAATATATTATTCTTAAGGAACAATAAAAAAATTATTCTAATAAAATAATAATATATCATTTTAAAGAAATGTTAAATAACATCATTATGATAAAATAATAAAATATTATTCTAAAGAAATAATAAAAGAATTATTCTAATAAAATGATAAATAACATTGTTCTAATAAATATTATTTTACCATTCTATCAGAACAATTCTTTTATTATTCTTTTAGAATAATGATTTATTATTCTATCAGAACGATTCTTCTATTGTTCCTTTAATATTATATTTAATTATTCTATTGCAATGATGTTATTTATTATTCCTTTAGAATAATACAATATCATTCTATTAGAATGATTTTATTTATCATTTCTTTAGAATGATTCTTTTCATTATTTTATTAGAACAATTCTTCTTTTATTCCTTTAGAACAATATTTAATCATTCTATTAAAATAATATTATTTATTATTCTTTTATAATGATATATTATTATTCTATTAGAATAATTTATTTATCATTCTTTTAGAATGATGCATTATCATTTTATCAGAATGATTCTTCTATCATTCCTTTAGAATAATGTATTATTGTTCTATCAGAATAATTTTATTATCATTTCTTTAGAATAATCTTTTATCGTTCAATCAGAATGAATTGTCTAATACATCTTAATTTTTTAAATATAACTTAATTCAAGATTTAAAAATTTATTTTAACTCAACTTGATTTTTTTGAGTCAAGTTGAGTTTGACAAAAACTCATATAACCTGATTCATTTAGAACTTTAGTTATATATGATTGTAATATAATATATCTTGACATAACATACAGTATCAAATTATATATAAATTTATATGATATAATAAATTGATATGACTTTTAAGAAAATAAAAGTTTGCATACTTATTATATAAGACCTTGATATATTAGTATATAAAGTATATAGGTTAAAGAATGCTAAAAATTTTTATAATAATTTTATACATAGGTTTTTATTAATATAAATATGCATTCTTAGAATATAATCTTAAAATTTTATCAAAAATAAGCAAACTAATTATCTGATTTTTAGTAAAAATTAAGAATTATTATTTATTATATTAATAGAATTATTTAATATTTATTAAGGATTATCTTTTGAATTATATTTTTATTGTTAAAATAATCAAAATAATATATTTTTTCATTTTCTATTAATCTTAAAATATTTTAATACTCCCAATTTATTAATATGATAAATAATATTAAATGCTAAATAATATAATTAACTCTTTTATAGCAAATTTTGATATAACAAATTTTATAATATAATAAATCTTTAGTATAATACAGATTTTTAAATTTAGAAAAAAATCTTACTATACTAAATTTAGTAAACTAAAATTTATATTACATTAAACAAATTAAAATATGTGAACATGTTTTATATAATAACATTTTGTATAATACATTTATTCAAAGTTTTTTTTAATACAATGAAGATTTACAAAAATGAATTTTAGTAGAAAGATAAAATTTGTATATAAAATTTTGCAATTTTTTGTATTTTAATAAAGTTAATGAAAGCGTTTCATGTAATGTTTCACAATTTTTTTTAAATATTTTTTTGTTTTATATGTTTCATAATTTTTTTTTCATATTTTTTTTTTTAATATAAGAATGCTAAAAGTAAGTTCAAAAAAAATAAAAAAAACCTAGTAATAAACCTTTAAAAAAATAAAAGTTTCTTATTGCTATATAAAAAAAAAAAATTTGTTTAAAAACTTCATACCTGTTATTAAAATATAAAGACTTAGCAAATGAATATGAAGTTAGTAAGAATATAATTAATGACATTTTAAAAGAAAAGGACTATTAGTTTGCTATAATAATAAAGCATATAAAGTTAGTTTAAAATATGAGAAAAGGTAACTTTTTCCTTTTATTAAGAAAGCTTTAACTCATTGAATAAAAAATGCATTTCAAGCTGATCTTATTATAACTGATAGTATTTTTTAACTAAAATTTTAGGGTTTGATTTTTTGTTTAGTGAAGATAAATTTAAAGGTTCCAATGAATAGGTAAACAATTTCAAGAAATAGCATAACTTAAAGTAATATAATATACAGTTTCTAGTGAAAAGAATAACAGATATAATTTTAAACAGTATGTAAAACTTTATTATTTAAATACAATTTTTTAACAATTTTTATTAATTAATTAATATTTTGTATGACTTTCTTCTGCATCAATACATGCTTTAATCCAGTATAGTATGCTATCAATACATCTAAGTAATATACTATTATCAAGATTGTTCTATTCTTACTAGATTATAATAAGAAATACATCAAATAATTTATTGTTATATTGCAATTTTATATAGCAAACTAATATAATATTCACATATGAATAAAGAAATAAACAATTATTGTAATATTTTCTTTACATTATGCACATTTTAGTTTTAGAGTATTAATACTGTGTTTCATTTATTTCAAGAGAGCTTAGCATGATCATGAAAATAAAATCAAAATCAAAATAAAACAAATATAAATTTAGACTTATCCTTTTAAATTGGAGTTTTATTATCTGATTTAGTCATACTAGGGAACGGTATCACCGTTGTGAAGTCCAGAACTTAAGATCACGTGAATTAATTATCAATATCATTGAATATGTCATTACGTCTAATAAAAATAAATACAACACATTTTAGGGAGAATTTATTAAATCTA